TTGTCACCCTCTTTTATATACCAGACTACCCTATATCTAGTAAATGCTAGAGCATTCGCCAAGGTACAGGATAGTTCTAGAAACGTGGCGTCACACTTGTCATGTGACTTCGCTGACGCAACAATATAATACCTCACACTGTTGATGAAGTAGGTATAATACCTCACTCTGTTGACGAAGAAGATACAATACATCATACTGTTGAAAAGGTAAATATAATACATCACACTGTTGAGGAATAAAATATAATACATCTCACTATTGATGAAGTAGATATAATACTTCATACTGTTGAGAAATGGATATATTACTTGTACTGTTGTGGAAGTAGATATAATACTTCACACTGTTGAAGAAGTGAATATAATACTTCTCACTGCTCGGGAAGTAGGTACGATACCCAGCACCCTTAAGGAAATAGGTATAATACCTCTCACTGTCAGGGAAGTAAGTATAAAACGTCAAAGTGTCGAGGAACTAGATATAATAGCTTTCACTGTTAGGGAAGTAGATATAAGACCTCGCAGTGTTGGGAAGATAGGTATAATAAATCTCACTGTAGAGAAAATAGTTGTAATATGTCAAAGTGTTGACGAAGTAGATATAATACATCTCACTGTTAGTGAAGTATGTATGATACTCCTCGCTGTAGAGGAAATAGGTATAATACTTATCAGTGTGGGGGAAGTAGATATATAATACCTCTCACTGTTCAGCATTTAGGTATAATACATGACACTACTGAGCAAGTGGCTATAATAACTCACTTTTGAGAGAGTAAGTATAATACATGTTGCACTTGAGGAAATAGATATAATACCACTCACTTTTGAGGAAATAGATATAATACCACTCACTTTTGAGGATATAGATAAAATACCCACAATGGTATATGGGCCTATGTGTGGAGCACCTGTTCTGCTCAAGAGTCTTGATGGTTCCCAACTGTTTACAATCAAAGTTGATATCTTGCAGAGATGGAAAGAACACTTTAAACCCCTTGACGTGGATTCCTGTACGTAGTGAGGGAACCTCCCAGGGTAGGTTCTGTATTTTCAGTTACTTCCTCTGGGATCTAAACATCCACCCGTGTGTTTGCCGTGCATGGCGACCCGTGAAGGGGAAGAGAGGATTCTGGTTGAGTTGTGTCTGGGGCACTGCAACACACCACTTTGGCCTTGAATTCCGGTAGGTGGGTGGCCTCCCAGGGTGAATTGGCTGGTCCACTTTGGCTAGGGTCAACTGGGTACCAGTGTTGGGCACTCTCAATGGGTGTTGTGGATATTGTGTCTGATGCTGGTGTTTGGGTATAGTGCTCATGAAACCCTGGCATTGCTGCAGTGTCCTTGTTTGACACTGTAGTGCGTCCCCTCGTAGGATTCCATCGTGGGTGGGGTCAGTGGGCACTGAATCTTTCTCTTTTATTATGGATCCCCCAATCCAAGTAACAAAAGTGTAAAACTCTGCTAATTGGTAAACGACCACGCCTAGAAGACTCTGAACAGCAGTCTCCACCACAATGTGGACCTGTACCTCGCTTTCTGATCTTGCATTCACTATTCAATAAATCTTTAGGGCAAATGACACTACGTGAAGGTATGGAATTTTGCAGGAACTCCACTCCTATGAGTTGCATAGCCATTTACCCATTTTTATTCAGATCTTTTTACTGCACCGGCGATTCCAAGTGCGTGTGGGTTCAACTCTTTCCCGTTCTTTTACACAGGAACTTTGGAGTCCCTCAGGGCTGTGTCTTGTGTGTCACACTTTTAGTATCAAATTAATGCTATCACTACACACCTTCG